TGCCATTGTCATCAATACTCCAACAACCATGAACAACCAATTTTGAAGCTCTTAATGCCTCCAAATTCCATTTACCCTTCTTCTTTCTCTATTCTCATGAACTAAACAACACATTACAACACATATCTCTCACTTTCTCTCCACAATGAGTTAAAAAAACCCAAGATTTTGATTCTACATTTTTTAGGGTTCATATAGTCAAAGAAATTAAAGATTCAAGGTGGATTACCTTTGTTTGAGCTCATGAGTGCTTGATTCTACATTTTCTAGGGTTCATATAGTCAAAGAAAGTGCTCTCACCAATTGAAGGTATGAAATCGAGTTATTTTTTGCGATCTGTTCGTCCAGACGACTGAAATTTCAGTCGTCTGCTTTCGTCCAGTCAACGCAGAAGTTATATTTGCAATTGACTTTGCAATTTGTTTCCAGAGACGACTAAAATTTCAGTCGTCTGCTTTATTTTGGCTACAAAAAAATATCTTAAGAATCTAGACGACTGATATTTCAGTCGTCGTATGTTAGTTTTGCATTTGACTAAAAAATTTCAGAATTTTGACTTTTTAGGACGACTGAAATTTCAGTCGTCTGCGAAAAAACTGAAATATCAATTTTTTATTGAAACACACGATTTTCAGACGACTTAGACTCAGACGACTTAACTTTAAGTCTCTGAAAGTCGTCCGGGAGTGATTGTTGGACGACTTTCAGACGACTTAACCTTAAGTCGTCTGTGAAGTCTTTTTCTGGACGACTTTCAGACGACTTAACTTTAAGTCGTCTGTGAAGTCTTTTTCTGGACGACTTTCAGACGACTTAACTTTAAGTCGTCTGAAAGTCGTCCGGGAGTGAAGTTAAGTACCTGTCTGCAGATGGCGTCCTTGAAACATCTGCGTTGTCCTAGGCCACCCTTGTAAGCAAGCAACGGTATAGACGGTCTGCTTGACACAGGAAAGCCATAACTGGCACCCAATTCTGGCATAGCTTCGTACGCCCACACCTGGAGAACCTGTATAAACCCATCAACGGTGTAACCTGTTTGCGTCAAGTCTTTTGCCTTCAAAGAATCCATTAGAACCTTGAACGCCACTCTTCCCCATGGGTAATTCTCAAATCTTTCCAAGTCCATGACTAGCCTTGCAAGACTAGCCCGTGTAGGAGAAGAGAACTTTCTGGCTTCAATGTATCCTGCGTAGATGGCAAGGTATCCCAGCNGCATAAAATGTACAAGCCTTGAAGTCCAAACAAAGCCAAGCTCCTTGAACTTGATGAATATTCCCAACTTTGACGCTTTCAGTTCATCATATTCATCAGGTCTGAGATTTGCAGATAGAGCTTCAAACAACTTCTTGTCATCAGAATGATACGAAATGCTCCTCAGAGCAGGGGGCTCTTCTCCTAATGTAAACAACCTCGGCGGCAGTTCTGATATATCCATTTTAAGGCCTGCAAACAATCACAAACAACCATCTCAACCACAAAGGAAGCGCACTATTCTAAATACTATAGAAGACTAGCAGACGACTTCAAGGAAGTGAGAAGACTACTCAGACGACTTCCAGGAAGTCTTCTACAGAGTCTTACTCTCTGGACGACTTACATGTAAGTCGTCCAGAGAGTAAGACTTCGTAGAAGGCTTCCAGGAAGTGAGAAGACTACTATGAAGACTTACAGTCGGAGAAGATTTAGACGGAGAAGATGTGAAAAGAAGAGTTGTCCCTAGCGGTTACAGATCTGCATATCGAAGGGAAAAGAAGAGTCAAGACTAAATTTTTTAGGGTCTTCCGGCGGCTAAACGCCTTAAAACATAAGATATAACATACCGGCGGCGAAGGAAAGGGCTACGAGATTTCAGATCTGAAAAAAAAGGAAGGGGATGTTCAGTTTAAACTACGAAAATACTCTAAGCCATGAAAGAAAAACAAGATTCGTCGAAATCAGAGAGATTACCGGCGAAAACGGAGAGATTCGTCGGCGAAATCGGAGAGATTCGTCGAAATCGGAGAGATTCGTCGAAATCGCCTTTACAATCGTCCTTGGAGAGAAACGGCGCTAGGGTTTCGGAAAATTGTGAAAAGTGAAAAAAATAGCTTTTATATGTCCGGTAAAAATCCGGTTAGGTTAAAACGTAAAATGTTAAAATTAACGGTTCGGTACAATTAGACGACTGAAATTTCAGTCGTCTGGGAAATAATTTAAAGCTTAGTCGTCTGGGAAATAATTTAAAGCAGACGACTGAAATTTCAGTCGTCTGGGAAATAATTTAAAGCAGACGACTGAAATTTCAGTCGTCTAATCCCTAAACATAACCCCTAAACTTTATTCTCTAATATTTGTGAAGCTTTGTAATTTAATTTGAAGAAAAATGTTTACTATACACAGAAATAAACACATAGAGGTCAAATTAATTTTTTCAAAAAAACATTTCATCTTTTCAAAATCTAACCCTAAGATTACATACAATACTACAACATATGTTTGCCAAACCCTTAAACCAAAGAATATCATGATTCACTACTTCCACTCATCTCTGCTGAAAACAAATCAATTTTATCATTTCTTAATTTATATCACTTATAAATGTTTATAATTACATGTTTTTAATTTTTCACTCATGAAAATATTTTTTACAGAATTTATAAATTATTTTTAAGATTCAATCGTCCAGACGACTAACATTTCAGTCGTCGAGACGACTGAAAAGTAACTCTGCCCGACTCAGACAATTTACTGGGGTTATATTCGTAAAAATGTCTTCTGTTTTTTTTGTTTGGTCACAGAGGACTATATTGTAATTTCATAGCCCTTTTAGGTTAGATTTGCATTTGATTCAAGTTGGGGTCTAATATTGGGGTTAAAACCAAGTTGTGAGTTAGTTTTGGCAAAAACCCCAAAGTAAAAACTAAGAATATGATGGAATATTCTTCTTAACTAAGTTAGAAAAAAAATATGGGTGTGTGTATGCTAAATGTATATGTCAACATAATCTGAACATGACACATTGCCAAAGTTTATAAGGAAGAGGATAAAAATATGTCCAAATATTGATTTCAGTTCATTATTCATATTTTGTAAATTACGATTTTGCCATATAATAAAGTAGGGTATATTTTATTTGATGGACAAATCATCTTAACGTATTAATATCATAATGGTTTGATTTGATATAAATGTTAACAAAGTATTTTGTTTTGGCATGTCATATTTGTGTTGGCCAGATTTTATATGTCAAAGATTATTTATGGATTTTATCCTTTTGAGGGGCGGATAAATCTTGGTTGCTACTTGCTAAATAATTAGTGGTCAAATGACTTGGATTTCTCTCTAAATATAGAGGAAAGTACTTATTCCCTCAGAATCCATCACCATTACAAATAGTCTTCTGCGTTTCCATCAAATCACACCTCTACCTAGACATTAATTCTCTCTCAAATTTTTAGATTTTAATTCGTCTTTACTCCTTAATTTATTTTGTTGAAGATGATTATCCCTGTCGAAAACCCTGTTTTTGGTATACATATCTACATTCCTTCACTTAAAAACTTACGTTTTAAAAAAATCATTAACAAAAGTAGAGAAACAAATTAATGTTTTTACTTTATCTTTTTTTTTTTAAACCAGTGCATGAAGATTTTAGGATACAAAAGAAGACCGAAGAGTTACAATTGGACAACAGAATTCCAACGTCGAAGACATCATCGGACGGTGATGTGTTTTTAGCACCTGAGGTGAACGCATTTGGTCGACAGTTCAGGTTTTGTTTTTACTGTATCATTCAAACATTTTTTCAAAAAAAAAAAAAAGAAGAAAGTTTCATCAATGTAAATTGTTGTAGGGACTACGCGGATGCGCACAACGAGAGGCAGAAGAGCGTTGAGGAGTTCTACAAAACACAACACACTAACCAAACTTTAGACTTTGTAAGATCTATTTATATTACTATTATATTTTAAGGTTTATTAGCTATTCTTTTCTTTTGTGGGGTTACTTAATGTATATGCATGTACGCTACATATAAAGGGACTTGTAAACTACTGTCTACTGATGAGAATTGTATGTTTAATACTTAAAAATACGGATATCATGTTTTTTTGCAGGTAAAGAAAATGAGACTCGAGTATGGAAAACTGGACAAGATGGTGATGAACATTTGGGAATGTTGTGAACTTCTTAACGAAGTGGTGGACGAGAGTGATCCTGATCTTGATGAACCACAAATTCAACATTTGCTTCAATCCGCAGAAGCAATTCGTAAAGACTATCCTAAAGAAGATTGGCTTCATCTTACTGCCCTTATCCATGGTAATTAATACTGAAGTATGGTAAAGTATTATGCTTATGGCTATAGCCTATAGTTACAACTTACAAATCAGAATTTTCATATATATATATATATATATTATTAAATTTGAAGTGAAAAATATAACAATCTTATTTTCTACAAATTTATTATATCATTTATTTCTTTATATGCATTTATCTTAATTATTTTTCCAAATAACTTGATAGGATTTATTATAAAAGCACAAAAACACATTTTTTGTTTTACTTTTTCAAACTACTTCATTAGTTGTATTTATCATAATAGTTTGACGCCATTTATTTTATGTGTTAATCATAATAATTTAACATGTTTGAATTAAATTATTCCACTAGTACAAGAATTTAAACCAGTTAACAAAAAAATATTTTTTGTTTACATAATTAGTTTAAACATGTGTATTCAGATACATATCTGTTTTCGGGTATCGTTTTTTTATTTTAAAATTATGTTTTTGATATTATAAATTTTTGTATAGGAATCAAATTATTTCGGATCTGGATAGATTCATGGACACCTAAAATTTACCTTAATAACATACATCTATATGTTCAAAACTGTTATTAAATAATTTATAAAAACATAAAAACTAATCTCGTGCGGACGCATGGAACAAGCCCTATTAATCCTTAAAATGTTAACATTGTAATGTATCTCCAGATCTTGGTAAGGTTCTTACTCTTCCACAGTTTGGAGGGCTTGCCCAGTGGGCTGTCGTTGGTAAGTGTAACTGTTTGTGGTATCTAATTAAAAGGAATATAATTAAATAATTAAGTTTTCATGATTGACCATTATCCAACTTGCAGCTTTTAGTAACATATGAATCCCATATCAAAACTTGTAGGTGACACATTTCCTGTTGGGTGTGCATTTGACGAATCTAACATACACCACAAGGTACATAAAAAACATATCAGCATCTACAGTTTCAAAATTTTAATATTACTAAACAGTTGACTATAATTTAACAGTTCTTATTTTCCTTTACTCTTTTTTAATTAGTTTTTTAACCTCTTATATTTTCAGTATTTTATGGAAAACCTTGATTTTAACAATCCAAATTACAATACCAAAACTGGGATTTATTCTGAAGGATGTGGACTAGAAAATGTTTTCATGTCATGGGGGCATGATGATTACATGTATCTGGTAATATTTTAGCTTCCTACTGTAATTTGTTAAGTATTATAATTAGTTTCCAAGTTAAATGTTTTATAAAATGGTTGATTATATGTTCATATAGGTGGCCAAAGAGAACGAGAGCACTTTGCCATCCGCGGGATTGTTCATCATCCGATACCATTCTTTTTACCGTAAGCATAATTAATATATTGCGAAGACAGTTAACAAACTAAACACTCAATTAGTAACATATTGGTTTATTAATGAGCTGTTATATATGTAGCATTGCACAAGGCTGGAGGTTACACTCACCTTATGAACGAGGAAGACAAGGATAATCTCAAATGGCTCCATGTTTTCAAGTAACTTGTTTTATAAACCAAAAATATAGCTTATAATCGAACAAATATGATTCCAATGATCCGATTGTAAATATAAGTTGTGTTTATAATACAGCAAGTACGACTTATACAGTAAGAGCAAAGTACACGTCGATGTCGAGCAGGTTAAGCCATACTACATGTCTTTAATCAAGAAGGTGAGGAACTTTACTTTCATCTCGTCTGAAGATGAAGAATTAATACGATAATTTTCTTTAATTTTTTTTGAAACTATAATACTTTCCACCGTAGTGATATTATTAGTATATTGCCATTTTTTATTGTCAAATTCAATATCTTAGTTTGGATTTTCAGTATTTCCCGGAGAATCTGAGGTGGTGAAACAGCAATAAGGCGTCCAAGAAGTCTACACAGAAGAAGATAAAATGGTGTCTGATTAGTAGCCGTTTAAGCTCTAGAAAGCATTACTGCCCAGTTTAATAAAGTTCTCTTACTATTGCATTGTCAGTAGCTAATGTTGATACAAAAATAATATTTTTGTATCCCGCCGTTATTATTATGAATAAAAATTAATATTATCATTTTGTTTTAAAAAGTTTCGAGATGAAACTCTATAGTTTTTTTCGTTTGACTTGAGTGTTTGCTTCTAGAGTTTAAGAAACATACATTATCATAAGAAACATGGTCAAATACAAGCCACCATCATCATCAAGTTTGTCCTCCAAACATTTTTTTTAATCTGCCTTATCAGCTAATCCGCGACCGGCCTAATCAAAACTAGGGATAGGCAAAAAATCAAACCGAACTGAACCAAACCAAATCAAACCAAACCGAAACTGATCTAAACCAAACCAAATTCTATTATCAAATAGTTTAGTTTAAGATTTTATCCAAACCAACCCGAATTAAACTAAACCGAGAAACCAATGTATTTTTGTTATTATTTAAATTAAACCTATTAGTAATACACAATATATTAAAATCTTAACACAAAAGTTACTATCAACTTTATTAACGATGGTGGATTTTTGTAATATTTTATTTACTTTAGTTAACTTTGATTTGATTGTGTGCTTATAAATTTATTGTGATTTTAAAAGATTTTTTTCAGTTTTATATTAGATTTAGTTTACATAATTTTTTTTCATTTTTATTTATTTTAGTTAATTTTAATTTTATTATGTTCTTATAATTTTTTGTGTTTTTTAAAAGATTTTATTTCAACTTTATATTAGATTTAGTTTACATAGTTTAATTTTTTATAGTCATTATAACATGGCCCTATATTTTTAAACATATTTCTCTTAAAAAATCAAACTAAGAGAATCCGATTAAACTGAACCGAAACACACATCAAACTGAATACAAACCAAACCGAAATTGATCCAAACTAATTATCGTTTACTTTGGTTAGATAAATTTTAAAATTAAATTAACCAAACCAAACCGATAAAATAACCGCAGTGTCACCCTTAATGAAAACACATTTTACAGAGTTGTTACCACACTTAACTAAATTTGAAATGTGTTAAGATTAAGACTAATGCCAGTGATAGTTGGGTCGCATGTTACCAAATTACCAAGCAAAATGAACTCAAGCATTTTTACCGCGTCAGATCAGCTATTGACTGCGTCATAGGAACCGTCTCATCTCTTTTCTGTCGATGGTCATAACCTACTTATTATCATCTTTTAATTTCCTATGGGTATATAGGGTAAGCTTTTCTTTTCTTGTAATAATAGGTAGTAACAATTGTATTGTTCATCACACACACACACACACACACACAAAGATTACTTAGGAGGCAAAAAGATGTTACAAAATTAAGCATCTTAAAAGAAACTAAAACATTCTGTTTGTCAACAGAAGAGCAAAACCGTCAGAACAAACAATTATTTCACTTACGTTTCCAAAAAGCACTGAATATATACATGCCTGAAAGCTTTTTCTTTTAGTTTCACTTACTGATCTCTTTAGTCACCGGAGGAATATCGATACCTCCGTCACATTTTTCACCGTCAGTAGGAAGCTTCTCCGTTGTCTCTTTCTTCTCCTCAGCTATATCCTTTGGCCCCAAGAAACTCGGCTGATTCGTAGAAGACAAAAGCCTTGCCCACATTCTATCAGTAATCACCACATGGTTATGTTTCTCTGTTATTCTCTGCAACATGAAGAAAAATATCAAATCAAGAACAATCCCGTAAAACCAGTCTCTGTCATCTGATTAGTGTCAGTAACTTACATAGAAAGGAATGTATGTCTGTCTTCCATTGACAAGACCACTAGTGAAGCCAGTGTAACCAGCCATTGCACCATGAACCGCGCTTTGAGCAAGAAGTGTACAGTAAACATTGTCTGATGCATTGCTTGGAACAGCCCTTATCATGTATGTTGGATCTAAAACCGAGAAATGAGATTAAAAGAAACATAAATCCAAATATAGTTGAAAGGATTATGATTTTTGTTACCTATGTATTTGAGATTCATCACCATCTTAATCTTCTTAAAATGATCCTATCACATAAAGTAAAAACATTACAATGAGTTTTTGTGCAATGGTGTAAGAGAAAGTTACAGTCTCTTTATTTACTTACCTTGATGTTTTGTGATAGCCACAAGCCAACATCTTTAAGAAGCTTGTTACCAGACGCGTCAGTGTTAGATTCCATGCTTTTGGACATCAACTCTTGTCCCGCTCCTTCAGCAAGAACAATCACCATGTGACCATACTCCTTAAGCCGTCTCTCTATGAACTCCAAGAGTCCACCTTCTCCTTTAAGGTAAAACGGTGACTCTGGAATCAAGCAGCAATCCACATCTCTGCTGGCTAATGTAGCATACATCGCTATGAATCCTGGTTTAGCCTTTTAATAATCAGTAACAGCTCAAAGGTTTTTCTTAACTGTTAATGTTAAGAGAAAAACTTACCACTGTAACGACCCATGAGCTTAACAAAACCGATACCATTCTCATTACTCTCGGCTTCAACATGTGCTGCGTTGATAGCTCTCTGAGCTTCCTCCACAGCAGTATCAAACCCAAAAGATCTATCTATTACTGGAATATCGTTATCAATTGTTTTCGGGATTCCAACCACAGCAACTTTAAGTCCACGCCTTCTAATCTCCTACATGGTTTTAATACAATCTAAGTTCAGCTGTTTGATTGTTAAAACTTGCAACTAATGTTCTGAAATATCAAAAGGGTATTACCTCATATATTGCTGAAGCTCCTCTCTGAGTTCCATCTCCACCAATAATATACACCTGATTGATTCCTCGATCTTGGATGCTATCAACAATCTTTGTGGTATCATGTCCACCTCGTGAGGTTCCGAGGATTGTTCCTCCTCGTTTATGGATGACGTTGACAACTTTAGAGTTTAAGGGGATAGTGTTCTTGGCATAGAATCCCCTGTATCCACCCTGTACATATGAGATTTTATAAGGACAATAGCCAAGAATGGATTAATATTATGTAAGAATCATAAAGCTTACATCTATTCCAAGGATTCTGTTTGCACCGTACATGCATGATAAGCTGCTCACGATCTCTCTAATAACGGTATTGAGACCGGGACAGAGACCACCACATGTGACAATGCAAGCATGGACTTCATCGGAGTCAAAGTAAACCTTTTGGCGTGGACCAGCGCGTCTGAAATGGATTCCTCTTGGACCATCCTTGTGGACTACAACCTGAATAACGATGAACAAAATAAAAAAAACACAATTCTTCAAACAGTTCAGGGTAAAGAAGGATTGTTCTTGATGATGATATTACCTTCTCAGGAACACTATCGTCTGCATCAACAAAGTATTGCCTGTTGAAAAAAACAACATGAAAACAAAACCAAAATTATGAACCATTATAGTAATGAAAACGGTTAAAAAATACATACTTCACCACTGAGTAAGCTGGATTGTCTTGTAGTGGGTTGGGATACGTCTGAAAGAAATCATAAAACAGGGAGAAAAAATAAACATAGTTAAAACTATGAATTATCTACCATTTGATTGGAGCAAACCATTGAACAGAACAAACATAAGATTCCTTCTTTTAATCAGTTTAAATCAGGGAAGAGTGAGAGATCAACGTACAGGAAGATCAGGGAGATAATCAATGAGATGAGGAACATCCTGTAGTATATAACCATCAGAACCATTGACGATCTTCGGACCAGACATAACGACCACGATCAAACAAGACAAAACTCTCTCTCGACAGAGACTACTTTGAATGGAGAAGAAGAATTAATAAACCGTCAATCCAATAAAAGGGAACCATTTTTGTAGGAGTTGAGACGATTTATACAAATCAAAAGAGGTAAGAGAGTGAGAGACGAAGAGCTTTTCTCGCTGTTTTTTTTAGATGGGGAATTTCATCAAACAGGTGGTTGGCATCAAAGGATCTTCATATTACATGTATCTGCAATTGGGTAGAGGACTCTCGTGTGTAGTATATAAAAGATGTAAATTAGAACGATCACGGAGTTTAAAGAGAGAACCAACGTTGAGACTTGGAGAAGATGATAATAATTCGAATTCAATGTAACTTTCCATTATTAGTTGGGCCGTGAGAAACAAGTAATTTAATTCACTTTGTATTTTGTTCAAAATGCACTTTTTTAAAAAATAAGAGAATATTCCGACAGTTTTTAAGAAAAAAAACAGAATCTCGAGAGAAAGACAAGTCCAAGTTGATTTGTTTATTATTGAGCTATTTAGGTGTATAACATAGAAGAAGATAATTAGGTAAGTAGTAATGTATATTGAGTGCAAGAAACAGGAGTGGTGTTTTGACCTGGATGCCCCTACTTACTCATATGGATTTCGTATGCAAATGTTAGAATAGGAAGGTGGCATATGCTATAGCTTCAGAGTGTACAGAAGTTTACAGAATTCAAATTCAAAGGCTTTTCATTTAGTAGTCAAAAAACATAATTTCTTCACATCCAAATTCTCTCTCTTATTTTCAGATCTGGAACACCGAAAGACGCGTCTTCTTCTAACTCCAGCATCTTATGATGAGGACGGAATCAGGTGATAATGAAGAAAACACGCCGTCACCGGTTAACGATTCTATGGTCCCGCATATGATGTTTGCAACCGGTGAGGAACCAGTCGGGATTCGAGTACTTACCTACCAGTCTTCTAGAGCACTAAGACGGATTCTTAATCGTCTCGACTCAGACAAGAAGTGCATAATCCAGAAGTCTTCATTTGGGAAGATGTTGGAAATTGCGGAGAAGCCATTATTTTCAGGCAGGTTTGCACGATATGTCATGTCCCGGCAACTGAAGGTTAGCAAAAAATACGAAGTTTGGTTTAGATTTGCAGGGCACCCTATTCGTTTTTCATTGCGTGAGTTCGCAATCGTGACAAGTCTACCGTGTTGCAATTATCCTCCGAAGTCAAGAATGAAATTGAAGGCAACACTTTCAGAGAAACCTTACTGGCCTGATTTATTTGGAAAAATAGATGTCGTAACAGTTGCTTCTGTTGTGAAGATGCTTAAAAAAAGGACGGTTAAAGACAAGGAGATTCGAGTGAAGTATGCATGCCTAGAAATATTGTCGGCAATCCTCCTCCCAACGAATCTGAAGATGAAAATCTCAAAAGAACATGCAGAGGCAATAGAAGATTTAGATGAGTTTTTCCAATACCCGTGGGGCCGAGTGGCATTCGAAATGTTGATGGGAAGCATCAAAGAAAGAGACGAGGTAAGTCTCTCACAAAATACAATTGTGATTAATTAAAGGTTTTGCACTAGCAATACAACTAGTATTGGTTGAGGCTGTCCCTTCACTCACGGAAGTAGTGCAAGAGAGTTGTTCATCTTCCGAATCTGACAGCGATGACAACATAGACGACGATACTGGGCGATCTAGTAAGAAACATATATTAAACCTAAGCCATGCGAGAAATATAGACAAGAAGGAGCATGTAAGAAAGAGATAATCATAATGTAACATAACTTTGTCTTGTTGTTTTAGCTGAAATTAATCGGATGAGACCTTATCTTGCAGGTTTTTGTTAAATGCATCATAGATCACGATCCAAAGCACCCAATTGATGAAACAACGCTAACTTGGAGGGATGAGATAGAAGACAAGAAAGTAGACTACCTCGAGAGTCTAATAGATAAAGGGCATAACTTCACAACGGGTATGTTCAAGGGTGGTTCAAGTAAAGTTGATGTTGAGAAGATGAAAGACGATAGAAAGGGTAAGGGAAAGGAGAGGAAACCTAGAAAGAATGCCGCAGATTCCAGGATAGGAGAAAATTCTAATGCCGACGGCAATGTTATCGAGAAGATCCAAAAGAGAGTCCTTTCACTGGAGAGTAAAGTAGAGGAGGTCGTGCTAACCATGGATCAGGTGAAGTCGATGTGCGTGAAGTTGCAGGAAACCATGAAATGCACATTTGAGGAGAAGTATGAAGCATTGAGGAAAAGTTTGCTGGAGAACTTAACGACAGCGATTTCTGAAGAAGTAGCAAAGCAACGAGAAGCCGCTGAGTTAGATTTGACCCGAGGAAAAGAAACTCGAAATGACGCTGGTGATGAAGAGAGTGAGCACGAGGCCAGTATAAGAGACGTAATAGAGAACATAAGCCACTATTCAACCCCACCAAAAACGGCAAGACCAGGCTGCGTAAGTCACTTAATAAAAGTACCGGATTATTATGTAAAATAAAGTAATTTCAATTGATAACTGGATTTGTCCTTATCTTGCCGTTTCAGAGGATTTCCATGAGCAACAATTGAAGGGCCAGAGTGCAGGAATGACACCTGAAACGAAGGGAGCAAGTGGAGGAGTATCAAATTCAGCTCATAGCCAAACAAGCAAACGAAGATATGACATATGTCAGACAAAGGTACCGTTAGCACAAAGAACATTTGAAAACAATGCAGAGATTGGAAATAGTAATGTGTTGCGTAATGTTGGATTGAACGACATGATGTGGAAGGAGAAGGAGAGCAGGTTATGGAAAAGGGAGATAGAATTGAGGTATTTTACGAAGTTAAATACAATTATTTGGCTGAAAATGTGATGGAATTTGAATTTGGATGAGATTGTAAACGTCAATAAGGTGGTCGGGGATAAAGAGGACAATAGCGAAAGTAGGAAAAATGAAGGAAGGGTAATGGCGCAGAACAATTATTATACCGTTCCCCAAATGGTAAATATCATCCGATATCTAAATGTTAACAATGTGTGCAGAGTAAAAAGTATTGCATAAAATAGATACGTTAATAACTTCTACACTTCTCATATTAATAAATAAATCCGTAGAATGGCTTGAACACCCAAGACTTTGGCGATGAAAATCAAGGAATGGTTAACCAGGTGGAGGATAGTTTCCATAACATTCAATCTGTCGCGGCTGGAAACAAGAAGATTGACATCAGCATTACAAGGATAACAGAAAAGGTACATATTGCGGATAAACACCCTGTTGTTCACTTGTATCTAACATATACATATACAATCTTAACACATACATAAAAATGCAGGAAAACGGACCGGTGACAACGCGAGAAGAAGCGGAAGTTCCATCGTTTTCGTTAGGACTGACTCAAGAAAACACCACTCAAGGTGAAGATGTGCATGTCGCAGCTGATGAAACATCAAACCATTTGACGACCATCGTCGATGATAATGCTGGAATGAACATGTTTTGCCGGAAAAGCAAAAGGCAGAGGACTATTCCACCGGTGTTGCTAACCGACTATCACTGTAATCCTATACTTGTAACTCGGGCAAGAGAATACCAGAAACGCGTGTTTGCCACCGGAGATGAGGCATTAACCCTAAGGAAATTTGAAGATCTTGAGAATAAACCTAAAAAGCATTTGTAAGTTATTTTTAATTTATTGGGTTTTATTCTATATTGTTCTTACAAACAGGTGACCACATAAACTAACTTCTCCTAATAAGTAGCATTATCAATGTCTTTAGAATTGCGGTGTCAGCAAAGGACCTAATTGACATAATAGACCGGAAGAGGGTGCAACCAGCAAGGGTATGTAACCTACCAAATTCGATATGTGCCTTCAATTTTTAAAGCATATAAAGCCATACACGTTAATAGATGTTGAAATGCAGGTGGTTGATATAATGATGCACTTGCTAAGGACAGTACAAACGAAAATTGAAAAGGGCAATGCAGACACGTGGGGAAAAGTCCTCGACAGTCGTTTCATGTCTTCAATTTCCAGGAATCACCAAAGGTTCTCAGCTGCAAGCAATAGGATGGAGTTTGTGTTCCCAAAAACAATGGTAGACTCTCTAGGATGTAAGATAGGTGGTGAGCCAGATTCCATGAGATACTACATACTGTTCAACATGGGGAAGAAAAATTTGGTTGGATTAGTTATAGATTGTGCTAGGTGGAAAGTGTTGGTTCTCGATAGCAACGTCTCCCACTGCAGTGAAACTTACGTCATATCAGAGCTAAACCCACTATGCGAAATGTTTTTGTATCTTCTGAAACAGTGCTTACATGATGCAGGAGGCGGAAACATGGATAGGATGGCAGCTGAGCGTGTGCAAGGGCTTACACAAAACATACATATCAATGATACTGGTATGATGGCCGTGGTGCAAATGGGAACACATGCGGTGCACGACATTGAAGCATGCTGGGGCATTAGTCCAGATGTTGTTGCTGAAGAGGCAAGGGCCGCAGCTGTAACAGCTTATGAGTTGAGTGGACTGGAGTAGGTGTTGGTGAAAATGGGTAGTGAGATAGCCAGTTTTTATGTTCATGTATTATCGGCTAAAATTTCGAGAATCCGGTTTAGTCTTTCTCTTATGTATTAAAGGATAATGTTTTTGATTCCAACTAGAACCATTTATTTGAAAAATTGGTATTTGTGATTTTAGATTTGGAAAGTACTGCTGTGAATTTCTTCCTCTAATAGGCGTTTTTTAGAGGTTGCTATCCTTAAAGATATCTATCAATAATTGAGGTGGAACATCATAACTTCAGAGGTTGTTATACAGCATTGTGCACAACCCATGTTTCCTTAATAGTACTGACGAACTCCATATGTAGAAGTGTCCAAAAAACCGGTAATATTTATAAATAACCAACAAGAAACACCAACAACCGGTAAATATTGCTTCTGATATTGGTATGTTTAATATATCCGGCTAAAAGGTTTTGTTAATAGTTTAGTA